CATCGTATACACACACATACCATAATTCTGCCATAATGTGTACATTGTGTTACAATATCAAATTGGCAGCTGTAATGCACACAGAACCTCATTGAATGTTTGCCAAAGCAACAACCTGTTTACATTAAATAATATATGAACAAAGACACCATAAGATCCCTTTGAGGTGTATTACTGTTGTTCAACTTGTACGGTGATACCCGCACCAATCCAAACATAAAAATATCTCAACTTTCTTCCCTTTTTCTCAATTTAATCACTACCATACCAAACTAAGTAGAATACACATGCCTGCTGTAATGCACACAACACACATATAGAACATACTTATAAGTGTATATACAGAGCTCTGCATTGCACATGCAGAGTCTCTGATCTTTCCTTCGATACAGAGCCTTCCTTTGTATCTCTACCTTTTGATAGCTCATGCAGAGCTACTTTCTTAACATAAGACTTGAATCCTTGTTAACCTAATATTCCCGACCAGAGCTCGGGGTACAGAGCTCTCTACGTATTTCAAGTACTTGCACACAAATCCTTATATAGGGCCACTGCATACCCATGATGTTGATTTATTGTGAGCCAGGAGATGTTCGAAAATTATGGGATGACCACTATGATTCACTCTCTGAAAATTATACGCGACAATGTGAAAGTGCTATTCGAGTCCGTAATCTGGTTCTAACTGATATCCTCGTTTTTCTATAGTCTATGGGTAAGAGTCTTGATGATTTCGATCTTCCAATGGTTGATGCAAATTCAAATTTTCAATCTGGAGAATTTCGTGAGGTACAAGAGGAATGCTCTATAGTTGTGGAAGATGAACACTTGCGTGCCCGAGACTCTTTGAATTCCGACCAGAAATATGTATATGATGAGATCATGAGGCACGTAAACGAGGATTGTCCAGGAGTGTTCTTTATAAATGGTCCGGGTGGAACCGGGAAGACTTTTTTGTACAAAGCTTTGCTTGCCAACATCCATTCACGTGGTTTTATTGCTCTCGCAACCGCTTCATCGGGTGTTGCTGCCAATAATATGCCTGGAGGGAGAACAACTCACTCTAGATTCAAAATTCCTCTGAACCTTGATAATAACTGGATGTGCAACATAAGAAAACAGAGTGGGGCTGCTAAATTGATTCAAGATGCAAAAATAATCATCTGGGACGAAGCGTCGATGGCAAAGAGGCAGGCGGTGGAGGCGCTCGATCGAACAATGCGAGACATCATAGGGGTGGCACTCCCATTCGGCGAAAAGATAATGGTTTTGGGGGGTGATTTTAGACAAGTATTACCGGTCGTGAGGCGTGGAACCCGAGCACAGATTGTARATTCTAGCTTGCGGATGTCACCTCTTTGGGCAACGATTAAAAAGATACGGCTAACGCTCAATATGAGAGCACACACTGATCCATGGTTTTCGGAATTTTTACTAAGAGTCGGTGATGGAGATGAAGAAGCGGTGGACGAAAGATTTATTCGCATACCGGATGACATGACCATTCCCTATGCTGATAAAGGTAAGTCAAAAGATGCGCTGATTGATGCGATCTTTCCATCTCTGCAAATCAACGGGGCTAATTCAGATTATATCATTTCAAGGGCGATATTGTCAACTAAAAACGAGAATGTCGACGAGATTAATGATCAGTTGATCGACAAGTTTTCTAGAGATGAAAAAATATATTACAGCTTCGACGAAGCAGAAGATGATAAGAACAACATCTATCCGATGGAGTTCTTAAATTCTTTAACTGTTAGTGGTTTGCCTCCTCATTACCTTCGTCTCAAGATCGGATGCCCAATAATACTGTTACGAAATATCGATCCCTCGAATGGATTGTGTAATGGCATTAGATTGATATGCAGAGGCTTTCAACAGAACGTCATCGATGCAGAAATAGCTGTTGG